CAAATCAAACACTACTAGTACAATCCAAGGCTGATTAGAGCAAGCGACCACTTGAGGTAAGCAATTCATCTGATAGGAATGGAAGCAGTAATGATGAGATTAAAAGTTCCACCACTAACATGTACTCTGCTCTGGAGGCTGTAGCTTCTACTTCTGAGGAGAATGAGCGTAGGCCCCCATGATTTTAGCAACTTGGAATATTAGAGGGCTTAACAAGCCCTTCAAACAAAAAGAGTTAAAGCTCTTTTTGAATAAGAATAAATTGGATCTCATTGGATGCATTGAGACTAGAGTTAAAGAACCAAAATCCAAAAATATTTTAAACAAAGTAGTACCTGGTTGGGAAACATGCTGCAATTATCCTAGTGTAGTGAATGGGAGGATATGGCTATTGTGGAAGAGACACCTTAAAGTCCAGATTGTTACCATAGCTAAACAACTAATCCATTGTATATTAGAAGAGACTACTACTGGTTTCTCTATCCACCTAACTATTGTATGTGGGAAAAATGGCCTTCATCACAGAGGTGCATTGTGGAATGAACTGGGATTTATTGGAAACTAGGTGTAGACTTCTTGGCTTATATGTGAAGATTTTAACAATGTGCTCTCTACTGAAGATAGAATTGGTGCACCAATAACACAACGGAAGATACAGGGATTCCAACACTATATTGATACCTTGTAGCTTACTCCACTGAAGGCTATTGCACTTCACCAGGTGTAACAAGCAATAAGGCACTAGTAGAGTATACAGTAAAATTGACTGGGTATTTGGAAATTATCACTGGCTGCAGAAATATGGCCACATTGAAGCTGACTACTTGAATCCTTCAGTATCAGACCATTCACCAATTCTTATCCATTGTGGTGCAACGATTCAGCTTTACCCTAGACCTTTTAGGTTATTCTCAAATATGTTAAACCAACATGAGTTTAAGGGAAAGGTTGAAAATACATGGCACTCGACAGTGAGGGGTGATCCTATACATCAAGTGTAAGAAGCTACATCTCCTCAAGGACAACTTGAAGGAATTGACAGCCTACATGACCTCATACAAACAAAAACTGGAGTAGCTGAGAGAGGAGCTAGAAGTAATACATGCAAATCTCAAACACCATCCATATGAACAACTCCCTGTTGACAAAGAAAGACCAATTTTACTTGATGTGGAGAAGTGGAGCTATACTGAAGAATAGGTCCTAAGGTAAAAATCTAGGGCAACCTGGATTACTTGTGGAGATACAAACTCCAAATACTTTCATGCCCAGTGGAAGATGAGAACTACTAGGAGCACTATCACTTCAGTATATACTGAGTGTGGTATTAAACTCACAGACCCTAAATTGGTAGAAAGGGAATTCATATCCTTTTTCACTAGGCTTATGAGGGAAAGTGATTCAGAACTACCTTGCCCAAACTCAGAGAATATCAAACAGGGCACATGTTTGAACTATCAGCAGCAGTGTCAACTGGTGCAAGAGGTAACAAATGAAGAAATTATGAAAGTTATAAAGGAAATGCCCCTAGACAAAGCACCTGGAGTGGATGGTTATCCTATTGAATTCTTTCTCAAGAAATGGGAGGTGTTCAGTGAGGACATCTATGCAGATGTGCATTACTTCTTCTAAAATGGCAAGATGTTATAGGCTATCAATTGTACAGCAATCACACTAGTGCCTAAGGTCCCTTCACCAACTCAAATAAAGGACTATAGGCCAATTACCTGTTGTACCACTCTATACAAGATCATAGCCAAAATCTTAACTAGAAGATTTAGCAAGGTTGTTGGTGATTTTGTCAGCCATTCCGAATCAGCTTTCATTAGGGGCAGATCCATCCTTAGACAACATACTCTTCAGCCATGAAATTTTCGAAGGCTATGGTAGGAAAGGCTTATCTCCTAGATGTGTATTGAAAGTGGACCTTAGGAAAGTTTATGACACATTGGAATGGAGCTTTATTAGAATAGTCATGGTTGATCTTGGCTTCCCTCACAAATTTATTCAATGGGTTATGGAATGCATCTCTATTGTTTCCTATTCCCTGGTCATTGATGGAGGGCTCACCAAGCCTTTCCCTGGGTAAAGAAGGATTACACAAGGGGACCCCATGTCCCCCTACCTCTTTGTCATAACTATGGAATATTTTCAAAGAGAGATGAATCAGTTGATCACAAATGGAGATTTTAATTTTCATCCAAAATGTAGGAAATTGGGAGTCACTCATATATTCTTTGTGGATGACTTATGTATGTTCTTCAGAGCAGATAAAGAGTCTGTTCGACTGTTGAACTGTGCTTTTCAAGCATTCTCACAAACTTAAGGTCTACGGGCTAATGCTAACAAAAGCTCCATTTACATGACTAGTGTGATAGAGGACATTAAGCAAGACATAGTGCAGCTCTTGGGATACTCCTTGGGTGATCTACCTTTTAAATATTTGGAGGTTCCACTATCATCCAAAAATCTCTCAGTGACCCAATGTCTGTCTCTTATTAAAAAAAATTACAGTTAGAATGAAGTGTTGGTCTGCCAAATTTCTCTCTTATGCAAGCAGGCTTCAGTTGATAAAATCTGGAATATTTGGAGTACAAACTTACTGGGCACAGATCTTTTTGATACCAAAGAAGGTAATAAAAGCTATTGAAAGCCTATGTAGAACCTTCGTATGGGCTGGGATGATAAATCTATCAAAGAAAGTACTGGTATCTTGGGATAAAGTATGTTTACCCTAAGTAGCTGGAGGATTTAATGTAATGAATTTGTGTGTAGGGAACAAGGCTGCAATAATAAAGTAGCTATGGTCAATTGCTCAAAAAAAAGGACTGCCTCTAGATAAAGTAGGTACACAGCTACTACATCAAGAAAGAGACTCTAGACTCATGCTCTATACCTAAGACGACAGCTTGGGTAATAAGAAAAATTATAGAAACTAGAGATATGATTATGCAACAGGTTGTGGTACAAGGGGACTTGCTTGCTAAGTTAGAGACAATTCAGAACATGCATGACACTTTCTCTATTAAAAAGTTGTACCTCTACCTGATTCCTCATCACCCCCGAGTCCCTTGGAAGAGCCTTACTCTACAGCAGAGCATACATCCACGCTTGAAGTTTATCCTATGGTTAGCAGTGCAAAACAGGCTGGCAACAGTGGATTGACTGCAGATGATAGGCATACAAGCTCCTATGGCTTGTGTTTTCTGTCATGGTGGCACAGAAACTCATGCACAACTATTCTTTGAATGCCCTGTTACACGTGTATTGTAGCTGAGATTATTGGTTTGGCTTGGACATAACAGAAGCAGTGGTGATTTCACACATGAATGTGGGTATGCAAGATGGCCAAGAGGAAGAATGGACTGGGAGCTATTACCAGTTATGTGTATGCAATGACAATTTATATCATATGGAGGGAGAGGAATCTGCTAAGATTCCAGAAACACCTATGATGAAGATCGAGTTAGTAAAGAAATAGCAGTACATATTCACGTAAGAGGACAAAACTTCAGAAAGTGGTGCAAGCCCTTGAGTCTGCTGAATTCATACCCTTAGTGAGATAGCTAGATGAGCATTTTCTTGTTTTCTTATAGTTAGTATTAGCTAAACTAGAAAACTAAGGGACTGTCAGATGTAAATAGGAGTGCAAGAGGTCGGCTCTTTGCCCGGAGTCTGTAAATAATACTTTTTTGGCCAATAAAAAAGCTATTTACAAAAAAGAAATATCACGTGGGAGTAAGTATTTTCTGTAATTGTTGGCATATTGTGTAAATTAGTTATAAACAATTAAGTTATGTTTCTCCAAAATACAAAAAATAATGTTGTGAAGAGATAAAATAATAAAATAAATATCTTTTAGACTATTGGGGAAATAGAGAAAAAGTAGCACTCCTACGTCAAGGGTGGTCAAACATACACGCTTCGCCGAAAGATTGTATTGCATATATAAGTTAAATACTACTTTATATAGCTATATATTATATTTTGAACACCCTTAATACAATTGAGTGAGGTAGTCCAACGGTTTAGGGAATTCAAAGTGACATGCTATTCACGAGTTTTAAGTTCTGCCCATTTTATTTGCCAAAACTAAATGGAGGCCTGCACCAAGTATGGTCTATTTGATTCTTTTTCAATCTAAAAAATTTTCTAATGAAAAAACTCTTAAAACTTAAAATTTTTGTAGAAATAAATGACTAATCTTAAAAGTAATTTTTTAACTAAATTTATTTCTTAAATAAATTTTATAATTTAAAAATCAAGATCTACCAAAATTTCTTCAACAAAAGCTCTCTATAAACTACAAATCTTCTCGGCTCTTTTTTTTTCTTTGGTTTTATGCTTACTTTTATTGTTAAAATTTCTAATGTTGTCTTTTTGTTATTTTAATTTTATAAATTTATAAAATTATAATTTTATTAAAAGTTTTTTTATTGTTTAGCCAAATATTGCGTAGTTTGATCTGAAAATTTTGGTACACCATTCATCGCCGAAAAGAATTGTTAACTTGTTTAAAGTTTGAACACCCTTGACGGAATTCATGGCTACGCCACTGGTAGCATTATGACTTTTCGAAATATATTATTATCATTTAATTTGTAAATATATTTTCGTATATATCTACAAATAATAAATATAAGTTATTATTTATAAAATTTCAACGTCAAAAGGCTAATTTTTCCGAATGGAAGGGTTGAAACGTAAAAATCTTTTTTTAGTGCTCATATTATCGTGACTTACTTCAATAGTTAATTGCTTCTAGACCACATATATTTTACACTTTTATTATATTTAGCTACTTATTACTCATTTTTAATTTGTTTAAACAAAATTTAAGATGAAGATGACGAATTCAAAGATGAACATGCATTAATTGGTATGTCACCACTTGCATGAAATAGAGATCAATACGTAATGCATGGAACACCCTTTATTTAGTAATTTATCGAACTCTAATAATGGTTGAAAGGAGAATCTGTACGTTATCATGGAAAGTCTACTTCTAAATCTTTAATTATCTTTACTTGTTACTTGATTAAACCATTACCATGCATTGGACGTGCCATATGTAAAATTCTTATTCAAATACATATACACTACTGAAAAACTATACCAGCCGGCAGCCATTACCTTCCTTCCACCCACACTTGACACTTTAAGACTTGAGGCACACAACACACTCATTATAACACAATAGGACAAAATCAAAGTGACTAGCCTTCACCCTTCACACCAATTCACTCTCTAGCAACATCTTCTCACTTTAATAACAAACTGAGAACAAAAAATACCAAAAAAGAGTAAGATATATAGAGTTTTGGTTGAAAGAGGAAGAGGAAGAACGGAGAGTTCCTCATACCTGAATTGATGAATTTAACTGAAAGAGGAAGATGAGGAAAAAGAACGGAAACCATGAATTGATGAATCCACCTTCACGAAAGAGAAAGAACGGGGGAAGGGTTCAAGGAAATAAAGTTTTCTCTTCTTCTATTTTTATGCTCATTAGCTTCTTTAATTTTTTTTTTTTAAGGGAATAATTGGGATACAACTAGGTCATCCGTGTATTCTATTCTTTCTTTCATTGGCTTCTTGCCGCGTCATCCACATTTTATTTTGTTGATTGTTTCATCCCTCTTGTCTAATGGAAAAAGTGTGAATAGAGATTGAATTTTCAATAAATTCAGATCATTTGATAAGATTTCGATATAAAAAATATATCTTGAAAAATTTAGGGGATTGTCTATATATATGTATAATGTATTGTTCGACCAAAAGAAAGGTTTACTCGGTCCAACATGGCAGCCTAGGGTAGCATAGGTTATTTACATTCCAAAATCCAAAGAGTAGGAGATGATCACGAGATGAACATTATGCATTGAGTATTTCCTAAGCTGAGTAACAAACAAAAGTAGAACACTACATAAACATAATCATTACTTACCGTAGTAATTTATTCTCTTCGGTCCAGTTATTATTTAAAGTTAATAGCTCCATTTTTAATAATTCCTATAGGATACTAGTTAATTGCTCCACTATTTGTCAACATATCTTCATTAAACTTTACTTCATTCATTTCGGTTTAGCTATAT